GAAAAAGAAGGGGACTACTATGAGGGCAGAGAGGTCCAGAAGGCAATGAAAACAGTAGAAAAAGTGAGAGATTTGGACGTAGAAAAAGAAGACAGTGAGATTGAGGAGATCCAGGCTACAAACAATGAGAAAGAAAATGTAGAAGAGACTGATATAAAAGGCCTGAATGAGGAAGAAACAAACTCTGAAGCTAAATCTGATGAAGACAGGCAGTTAGAAATTAAGAATGAGGAGGAATCTAATCAAGAGCAGGAGAGTGAAGGCAGTGAAAAGGCTGAAAGTGAAAAAGAAAAACTAGATGAAACAGTTGACAGTGAAGGTGAACTAGGAGAGGAAGAAGAAGGGAGTGAGGTTAAAAAAGATAGAGATGAAGCTTCAGTAGAAAGAGATGAAGAAGAAGGGAGTGAGGTTAAAAAAGATAGAGATGAAGTTTCAGTAGAAGGAAATGAAGAAGAAGGGAGTGAGGTTAAAAAAGATAAAGATGAAGTTTCAGTAGAAAGAGATGAAGATGAAGAGGAAAAAGATAACGAGGAAGAAAATAAAAGAGAGGAATCACAGACTGAGAGAGACAGTGAGAATGAGAGTTCAGAAGAGATTAATCAGGAAGAATGCAAAAAGCAAGGAGGTGAGGAGTGCAAGTTGATGGAGGAAGAAGAAATGCTGAGTGAGGGAGAAAAGGAGGATGTGGAAGAGGAGGAGGAATATGCAAAAGGGGAAGACACTGAAAAAGAAAAGGAGGAACAGGTTAAAAGTGAGGGAAGAGATGAGAGTGAGGAAGGAGGTGAAGATAGAGAGGGGGAGGAAGAAAAACAGGTAGAGGCAGAAGAGGAAGGAGAAGATGAAAAGAAAAATGAAGAAGAAAACAAAGAAAGGGAGAATGAAAAAGACAAAGAGAGTGAAGAGGAGGAGTTTGAAGAATCATTGGCAGGGAGGGAAGAAGAGAAGGTATCCGAAGAAGAACAGGAAGAGGAAGATGCAAATACGATGACTAAGGAGGTGAGGGAGGATGGAGTGGAAGAAGGAGAAGAGGAGGAGGATGAAATGGAAGAAGAAAGAGAAGACGGGGAAGAGGAAGGAGCAGAGGCAGAAGGGGAGGAAAAGGAAGAAGATGAAAACAAGGAAGAAGAGGAGTGGGAAAATGAGGAAGAGGAAGGTGAAGAAGATGAGGGAGAAGGGCTGGAAGAAAATGAGGGAGCAGGAGAGGAAGAAGAAGAGGGAGAAGAGGGAGTTGAGGAAGGTGAAGAAGACGAGGGAGAAAGGCTGGAAGAAAATGAGGGAGCAGGGGAGGAAGAAGAAGAGGGAGAAGAGGGAGTTGAAGAAGGTGAGGAGGGAGAAGGAGTGGAAGAAGAGGAAGAGGAGGAAAAAGAGGAAGAAGAGGAAGAGGGAGAAGAGGAGGAAGGAGGAGAGGGAGAAGAACAGGAAAAGGGAGAAGAAAAAGGCGAAGAGGGAGAAGAGGAACAAGAAGGGGAAGAGGGAGAGGGGGAAGAAGGAGAAGAGGAGGAAGGGGATGTGGAAGAGGAGGAAGAAGGGGATGTGGAAGAGGAGGAAGAAGAGGATGAGGGAGAGGAAGAAGAGGAAGAGGAAAAAGCAAAAGGTAAAAGACAAAATTATAGTAATAAGCTGCCACAAAATAAAAGCAAAACCAAGAAGCCAGAGAAGACAGAAGGTGCTGCTTTACCAAACAGCTCCAAACAGAAAATGAATTCCAAACAGCATGTAGCAAATGGTTTACATAATTCAGAACAATTTTGGAACAATGTGCTACCTCATTATTTAACACTAAAGTAGCATAGACTACTGGAGATGTATTTTAAACCTATTCAGGAAACTTTGGAACTATGGCAGGTTGATTTTTAGTACTTTTTTAAAAATATAATTAAAATATATTATTATGCATGTATTTTAAGTGCCAATTTCTTGTAAAAGATTGAAGAAAATCATATAAATTGTTGATACAGTCGTTTACACAATCATCTTTATCACGAATGACACAGATTTTAAAAAATAATTTCTGAGGAAGCAAAATGTGTTTACCTCTTAATGAAATTATGATGTCATTCTGACAACACGAATTATACATTGTAACAGTGCAATCTTCTTTGACTTTGAATCAGATATCTTAAGGTAATTCATCAATTTTAGTTGCAAGATAGCTTACTTGTTAATGTGCCTTATATGAAAGGAGAGTCAGTAAATTACCAAAGATACCTATTTTATAATTTTGGTATCACTCCATGTTCATTCCCCCTACTTTTCTTCTGTTTATGTATTGGTAAAATGAGTACTCAGTGTAAATTGAGGAAAAGACAAGTTGCCAAATTTACATGGGTTCAGTAGATGGGAAGTAAATGGAAATGCAGGCCTGGGTAAATGGTGGCCTCAGCTTTTTCAAGGGCCTTAAGATTCACTTCTTATTTTGGTGTCAAAAATGCAGACACAAGTCTCAGAATCTGGCCTAGATTACATTAGAGTCAGAATGCACCTGCTTAGGGATAATTTTTGAGATATAGTTAAGAATTTGAAAATATGCACCTGTAGAATGTTATTTACTTGTTTATACTGTGAGATACACAAAAGACTATCTGCCTACGAAAGACTACATTACATTAGTCATCTAACTCTAAGGTTCTCAAGGAGGGGAATATATTTTATTGCAGTGCAAAGTGTATATATGTCTTCAGGATCAGAGCCTAAGCTTCTCCTCATTGGAGGAGATTTGTGGGTTTTCCTCCTAAAAATCACATCTGTGATCTCCAAAAAGCGGACAATATTGTAAACCAAGAAGCCAGATGGAATAGTAGAGAAAGTGGCATGAAAGTCTGAATTCATTTTGGAAAAGACAAAGTATGCTAATACTTCTGAAGTTTCCTCAAAGTACACAAACAAATCTTGCAAACTATTTTTTTAAGATATTGCATTAATGTTTCAACTATTAGTGGTCAAACTGGCAAAAGAAGGGATAGCGACTCATCATACAGCATTATTACTTAAGTACTATGCTAATAGGTGGTCTGAGAAATTTTTGTAAACAGATTTCAGTATTGACATTCTCTAGAAAAATAGTTATTTAAATCCTATTTGAAAACAAGGACAAGAGAAAAAATGAATCAAAATGAGAAAATGTCATTCAATAAAAATGTTAATTGAATCAATACTTATGTTGAGAACTATGAAACATTTTTAATGTTGTTTTGTAAGATACTGGCATTAAACTATCTTTGACACAACGTCTCCAGAATTTATTTGCTAAAAAAGACTGTAGTAGATTAATAGTTTGCCAGTAGATTCTAGTCCAGTTCAGTCCTTCCTCCCCCAGTCACCCCTGCCACATACTGCATTTGAAGGTAACATCACTTTCAGTCTCGTGCCGTACCGAACTATAACAAAAAGTTAGTCCAGTGACTGTACTTTGTTCCTGTGACATTTGTTTCAAGCTGTGGGATTTTCTGGAATACATTGTCTTGACATCAGCATGTGTAAGTCTTTGGAAAAAGGTAAGTATCCTCGTATTCTGATACAGTGGAATATTTTAACAGTTGAATGCACTTCCCAAGAAACGAGCGCTCTCTCTAACAACAGAGTCCTTGGTTATGTCGCAGAAGTGCTGCGTTATCACTGAACTGCTGTGAAAATACTTTTGAAACCAAGTGGAGTTAAGCTGTGTTATTTTATCTTTTTTCAAAAAGATTAGGATGTTACTGTGATTAAACTTAGAGTAATATTGAAAAGTATTTTTGTAGGCCTAAAACCGTGTTTCTTGGATGTGCCATCTACCTATTTTAAAGCTGATTTTAAAATTCAGCTTTGGAAGACCACTGTGCTGTGAAGGAAATCTGTTATTTCTTGTGAAAAATATTTGCTAGAGTGAGTGGGGAAAAAAGTGAGAGCACTTTGAAGCAAGTGATTTCCAATTCCACATAGGAATGGCTCTTCATTCACTGTTTGGCTGTAGCTTTTAATCTAAATCCTTAGGCAAATGGGGACCATTTGTTATTTCTCTCTTAGCATGCGCTGATAGCATAAGGCTTCCCAGGAGAGTAAAGGAAGCCAAATTACGGGCATCCCCTCTTCTTTGTTTTGTCTGGATGAAAATTCATTGAATTGAGAACTGATTTTATATTGGTTTGTGGATCATTCCTGTGGTGAGGGAAAAGCAGAGCATTACTCCAGCACTTCTAAGGGTTTTCCACAGAATCATTACATAAATTATACACTGTGCCAACTTTTCTGGGCTTTGGGGGGGACTTTGGAACTCCATTAGCGTAACGAGTGGAATTTTATTTAGTTTGACTCATATTGGTTTATGAAGTTTGGTGCTTGTGGTTTTGTGGAAATTCAGTATGTCCTTGGTATTTATTATGGGATACAAAAAGATTTATGTGCAGTGCTTAATCAACATGGCAGAAATACCCCTGAACTAGTTTTCAGTAGAGAAAAAAAATCCTGCAATAGAGAGAGAAAACAAGAGACAGCTGTTCAGACCAAAGGTCTATTTAGTCCAATATCTTTGTTCTACTAGTGGCTACTGGTGAGTGTCTGGCAAAAAAATGCGAGAATGCAAACATATAGTGTTACTTCTTCTCTGTAATTATTCACATTCTCAGTATATCAAATATATTCATTACATTGAATAATTTGTGGTTTAGCAGATGTATCTTATATTCAACAGCCATTTTCCTTCCATGAATTTCATTCAATCAATTTTTAACCCATTTAGCATCCAGTACATGTTTTGGCAAACAATTCTTAGATGACTTGACATGTTATTTGAAGAAGTAACTCCTTTTTTGTCTTGAATCTATCTTTTGGTACCTTCATTTGCTGTCTCTGTATTCTTGTATTAGAAAAAAGAGCATTTATTCCCTTTTTGTAATTTATTCCCTCATGATTGTCACATGGAAAAACTGTTCAGCTGTGTGGTTTAAATCAAATCAAGATTAGTTTATTGATTTATTAATAACAGTTAACCAGCCATCAACCAACTACACAGTCAAGATCAAGAGCAGCAATACAGTGGGTAATAACACCACTAGACATCCATAAAATGTTGATGAGCACTTGCAAATTTCTAAGCACCGGCAAGTTTATAAACACCCTTCTACAGCTAATCTCAGAAGTTTTAATCCCTCTGCACACTCTCCTATACATATTCACAGAATTATATATGCACATATTGCCTTTTACAGCAGACCTGAATCACAAGCATATATCCTATTTTTGGGGAGCAGAGTGCAAGTCTGCTTTTGCCACACAGCTCCTGTTGGAGATGAGGGTGCTCTAAATTATTTTTGAATATGCTGTAGGACAACTCTTCTCTTACATCTGCAAAATTTCAGCAGGTAAATTTTTCCATTATGTCTGAAAATATCAAACTATTTATTTAGATAAATTGCATAATTGACACTGAATAACAAAAATGTCTTTCTTGAAACTACAGATCATGTCTGGTTTTCATTTACTATTTTTTGTCTTTTATCTTATCTGTCTGGATAGGTACATGGTTATTCTTTAGAATAGGGCCTTTAGGAAGCATGCAGAAAAGTACATTTATTTTTGGTTTCCATTGTTTTTAATTTTTTTTCTCTAGCTTTTCTTAGCTTTAGCTGTCTTTTAAGATATATTTTAGCTTAATTTCTCCAAAGATGGCACTACACTCTAGATCTTACCTCTCAGAATGTCAGTCTTTTATTTTTATTAATTCAATTCATGGTTTGAATCTAGTTAATTAACAGAAGTATTGTTAAATACTCTAAAACAAATGTGAGTGATTAAAGGCAGACCATCTTTTTTTAATGCAATCTGAGATTTTTCTCACATAGGCTGGATTTATCAACTGTGAACTCATCTGAACTGTTGTTTATTGTAAATATTATGGGAAGCCGAATCAAGCTCAGAAAAAACCTGAGCTTGCTATAACTGTTCAAATAATTCTTTGGACAAAAGAATGTTATCAGATCTGTAAAAAGGCAAAAAAATGGCAAAGTAAATGTAAAAGGGCAAATTATCAACTCCTTTCTAAATGTGCAATTCAAATAAATAACAGTGTTTTGTACTGCGGCGTTCTATGAGCAACTGAGCAAATATTTTGCTTGCACAAATGGCAAACCTATAGTTTTGTCCTCAGCGAAGTTCTGAGTGTGTTCGTGATCTGAAGTCACTCACTGAGTTGTAATATTTTTATACATTTTTTAATGTATTTTAATGGAGAGAGGAGAGGCTGGCTTTTGAATATTGAAAGGATTTTGGAGAGAGAGCTTTGGCATCAGAAAATTGCAGTTCTGAGCTACAGAGGCTTTATTTTTCTCTTGCCAAAAGAAAAAGCAAGTACACTTAATCGCTGTCCTTTTTAAGGATTTGTGATGATGCCCATTGCTTCTTTGCCTGACAACCTCATGCTATAATAATTTAAAGAAATATTAATACCATTATCTCAAAACCCCATACTTTGTTACGAAAATATTTATTATCAGGGCTGTGAAATGTCAAGTGTAGAGATATTTACCGTTCTGGCTTTCGTAAGTATCCCAACATTGAAATATCAGCCATGACTTTTTTTCTGT